ACAGGCTCCAGCCTTTAGATGTCAGTTGTTTTAGCCCGCTCAAACAAGCGTACAGTCGCATGATTGAAATAACAGCATTATTACCCTTTGTATGCCTGCCCACTCGTCACACAGGCTCCAGCCTTTAGATGTCAGTTGTTTTAGCCCGCTCAAACGAGCGTACAGTCGCATGATTGAGGATCTCATCTGGCGTCATATAACCCATGTTTCGAAGGAGGACTTCCTTGCAGCATTTTGTGAAGCACACAATGCTGCTATGACGCTAGGAAACATTCAAACAGGTTTCAATGCCACTAGGCTTGTTCTTTTTGACCCAGAAAGTGTCATTTTAAAGCTGGATGCTGTCGCTGTTGTACGAACACCGTCGCCAGACCCCAATCTGCCACCCACTACTTGGACTTCAAAGACGCCTACCACCATCAACGAAGCAATAAACCAGTCGGTTTATATATGAAATCGAGTCAGAAACCACCAGGGAAGCTCACCTACATCAATAATTGATATATTGAGCTCATTTTTAAAGGCTACATACGGTCTTATGCATAAGGTTGCTTTGATTGATTCCGGGATCCGCGAGCTAGAGGAGGCCAATCACCTATTAAGTAAATACCAGAGGACAAAAAACAAATGTCTAATAAAAGGAGGAGTATTTTCTGTTAAAGATGCAGTAGGTCTCTAGGCTGTAAAGGATAGTAATGAGCTGGCAAGACAGGAAATGGGTGAAGGTAGTCGTCGTCCGAAGAGGGCGGCAGCGCGTGAGCAACGTTATGGTGTTTGTGACAACATTAGCCATAATACACGAACTTGTACAATAGAGATGGAAACGTCTGAAGAATAAGAATCTGATTAATTAGATTGAATTAAATACGTTGTGGTCAAGTCATTTAACATGTTGTTTAGAAGGTTGGTAAAAAGTTGCCGTATGCTTGTAATTACCACTCGCTTGTCATCCACGTTAATCAAAAAATATACGATCGCTTTTTATAAGTATATAAAAAACTTAGTAAAATATTTCTTTTAGCGTAAATATTAACTATTAAAAAACTCATACTTTTTATAAAGGCTATCGTTCTTTTTTTGGTAAAAGCCTTCGAAAGTATTAATATTGACAGTTAAAATACTAGCCTTATATAGAATCTCGTCGTTTTTAATAATAACCTTCTCAATAAAAAGCTAAAGACTTACTACTTTAAAGATATTAAAAGTTACCCAGGAGGAAAAAACCAAAAGACCTAGGCTTAATATATAAAATAGTTACTTAAAGATTAATAATAAATATAATTAATAAATAGTACGATACGTAAATAAGTAAATACATAGCTTATAAAGCCTTTATATAAGAAACAGATTCGTATCGGAAATAATTATAATAATGACGTAGAAATAACTAAACTTTTCAAGTTATAAAAAAATTATTCACTCTAAAAATAAAATAAAAACAATTAAAAAAAAGATCTTATTTATAATAAATCTAAAAACCGTAAGTAAAATACTACTATGTATATTTATTAAGTATTTTATATAGAAAAGAAAAGAAAAGGTCTTTTAAGTTAAAGGTAAAGCCTTTTTTAAGTAGTTAAATAATCTTTCAAAATAACTAGATATTTATAATAAACACCTGTTATTTAAACCAATTAAAAGCCAATGTTTGTAATGTTATAAGTGTTTTATAAATGCTTTAAAGCTAGCGCTTTAAAACATTTAGCCTTTAAAGCTACTTAAAACCTTATTTAAGCTTATTATAATCTTACTACTATTATAATATCTAATAAAAACACTAAGGCTTTGAAGGTAAAAGGCTTTAAAAGCGATAAGCTATTAAATTCTTACTAACACGACATATAAAAAAGATCACCTTGTCTTAGTGCAAATTATACGATAGAGGTAATCAACGTAAGCTATAAGCACACTGTTCCTCAGTTTTCTTTTTAATTCTAGTCGCAAGTACTTTCATCTTCATTTCTTGGGTTGGGAGTCTACAACGCCTCACACACCCACTTCAACGAGCCATCATTCTGGCTTCAGTCTGTTATTGATGATGCTAAATCTTCCATATCCCAGCCTCACCCCAGTTTTCTTTTCTTTTATGCTCCTTATCCAGAAGGCGGATGTCTTTCTTTAGCTGACTCCCCGCTGGTCGGAGCGCAGCTCCCTGGTTGCCTGCTTTGCCTTTGTCCATCGGCTCAATAGACGGGAGAATGCTGATACTCGTGAAAGAGCGTTGGCTCCTGAAAAGTCGGACTCGAGAACATCGAATCTCACCATACAGGCACTGAGGACATTTGGAGTATTTGGAATTAAGTCTTTGATCCATAAGCCGTCTTCAAATGGACAGCGTGCCTTGTGCGGGAGGATCCCTATTGTTCTTGAGTCCTACTATTTGCACCTTGATTTCCAGCCACCAAGCTCACCACCAACCAGGTCTAGCCAGCCAGCCAGCCAGCCCAGCTGCTAGGGACACGGTGATCTGGAATTGTATGGCATCTGCATGTGAAACCCTATCGTGATGGCCATTTACCTTGGCAAGTTGACCAATCAAACTCGACCATTAGACACGATAGTGTGAAATTATATGGCATCACCACACGAAACCCGATCGTAACGGCCATGCAGTTCAGCTAAGCTGTCCATTCCACTTGACTGCGAACGTCACCAGCTGTAACGGACATGATAATCTAGAACTGAATGGCATCTTCATACAAAGCCCGATCGTGGCGGCCATTTGTGAGATTTCAAAGTGTTCTATTAAGGAGAGGAATTCCAGCAACTCTGGAGCGGCCAGAGTGGCCCTATATATATCCAAGATACTAAAGGAAAGGATACGTGGCCTTATATTGGCCACGTATGTGACAGAGTCACAAATGGGGATGGTGATCCTGAAGGATGACTATGGATGGGCTAACATAGCCCATAATCCAACACCATTGAGCCTGGCAAAAGTTGTTGGCCGAGACAGGTGATTCGGTTGCCGTTGGTGGCAGGCGGCTCTAGGTGTGGCTGGAAATCAAGGTGCATATAATGATTTTTCTTTCAAGGTGCAAGTAGTAAGACTCTTGTTCTTGGATCGTGATTTGGTCCATATGCATTCGTGGCCACGAACGGTCTCGGGTCTGGGGCTAGGATGCGGAATTATCTATGAACTGATGTAAGTGAAGGTCTAGTCGAGTCGATCGACTTCATGTTCCCAACCCAGCAGATTGAGAGATGGTATCCATCTTGCAATCAATTCGGGCTCTGCCGCAACCTTGAGCTCGAGTCGGTTGGTTGACCTGTCACACATCGAGGGCCACGGTCGAGTGTGTACTTCAATAAGAAATACTTAGCTTCATGTTCAACGCCTGTTGAGGGACCGTGAAAATGGAGCATTCGAACATGCGCCAATATTCTATCGACGAATCAAGCAACGATAGCCAGTCAGGTCTGGCGTTCTGATGAATGATGTTAACCGCTCCCGACTTGACCTTGCCATCTCGACGTCGTAACCTAAACGCTTGCCGCCTTGCCTACGCTCTGCTCTTGGTATGTCGTGGATGATGAAGCTTAGAGATGGTCTCAATCCTCAAAGCACTCGAAAATCATCAGCGTTGAGGCGTTGAGCTGAGTAGGGATCTAATTGGGCGCTGAGTAGATAAGGATTTCAACCTTCATGTCTTGCAATATCTTGATGATGAGCCAGTGGCCATGTGTAAGCCATGCGGATTCCAGGACAAGCCACACAGACAAAGGGTCGACTTGGTCACGTGACATCTCCTATCTAGGCTGGCAGGGTGAACTCGCTAAGCTAGAATCCTCCGCCAACACCACCACACTGTACACAAAAGCTGCTTCATCAATGGTTCGTCCCCCAGGTAAGGTAGGTATGTTATAAGGGTCTTCTTCCTTTGATCCTCATGATGTCAAGTGATGCCGTTGTGAACGTGGCACATCGAAGAAAGGAATCTGAAACAGCGCCCACTCTAAATCCTGCGTTGGCTTGCGCTGACGAACCGCACCACTCCACGCATCCTGTCCTCGTCATCATCACTGCAGGAACCAATGCGACGCCGCAGCCGCCGTCGACAGCGCATCATCCTCTAGAAGTACCGGCAGGTGTGTGTGTGTGTTCCTGGCCCGCAGACACCAACACCGACGACCAACACCCAACTCACAAAGGGGAAACACCACGCCGCCGTAATTGGTTGCCATTGAATGCCAAATGATGGGCGATGTCCATTGTCCCAATCATGGACACGGCGGCGCGCTGTCACAATAGGGTCGGTCGGTAGGCTGGTAGGGCATGCTTGGCGCACACCGGGCTGACTGGGCCATTGTCCTCGCGGCACAAGGGTCCCTTGTCTGGACTCTGGGCATCTCCTGGTTTCTGAGATGATCTAAGACCAGCACCCGACCCAGACAGCCCAAGCCCGCCGATGGTGTGGCATTAGTTGTAGGGGTCATATTAGACCATCACGTGACGCTGCCACGGATTGCAACGCTTACTGGTCCAGAATCAATGCCCTGGAGAGCCTGGCCATTAGGAATGCGCCGCCCTTGTCGATGGCGGAGTCGCAATTTCAGGGGTATTTCCCACACAGATCAATCTCGGATTGTTATTTTATTAGTTGCATGGGGCAGCAGCCTGTAGCCTGTAGGTACCTTACCTAGACAGGGCAGCAACAGAGCGTTATTAGGCAGTCGGTGCAGTCACTGGTCAGGGCAGTTAGGGGGTGGCTTGCATTGGCTGACCGCTCACCATGCGTCCCATGCTTCCCAAGGCACCCGCATGATGCGAAATTCCTTTGTTTTGTGCCCCCTTCCCGCGTTCCCATTCTTTTATTATAACCGCCCGCCCGTCACTCTCTTTCTCCCCCTTCCCTTTCAAAGGTCACTCGTTTCCGCCGTTTATCAGCACTGTTTCGCGTCAACTCTCCGTGGGCTTGCTCACTGTCACTCTTTTAACCAAACAAACAAAACCGACGCTCTTTACTTCTGCAATTTTTAAAAAACACACGAATATCACAATGCATTTCTCGAACTCGATTCTCTTCGCCGCCGCCGTGGGCGCGGGCAACGTTGCCGGCCACGCTATCCACCACCGCCACTCCCACCTCCACAAGGAGCGCGCCGTGGGCGACATCGTTACCGCCGTCATCAACGGCCAGACCCAGACCTGGGCAAACACCTGGTCCGGGGCCACCGCCGCCGCCGCCGTCGACGAAAAGGTCGCCGAGGTCACCGCCGCTGTCGCCGCAGCCAGCCCTACGGCGGCGGCAGAGGAGAAGGCCTACCCCACCACGGCCGTCGCGGCCTCTGCATCGGAACCCGAGGCCACCGCCTCGTCCTCGTCCTCGTCCGAATCCTCAGGCAGCACCGTCGCCAGCAGCTACAAGGACTTCTGCGCGGGCAAGGAGAAGCGCGCCACGGTCGCCGAGATCGCGTACGTGGGCAACACGGGCGCCTGCGGCTGGGGCAGCAACATCATGCTAGTCGCCGACGACATCGCCGACCAGTACGACTACACGGTCAAGTTCACCGGCGAGAACACCGAGGATTGGAAGGTGGTGTGCTGGAACAAGATCGGGCCCGACGGCCTGCCGGACGGCTGGTACAACGGCAACGTTGCCGTCGAGTTCACCCTGGCGCCCGGCGCCGCCCAGTACATAGCCATCGACCACAACAGCCAGGGCGGCTGCGCCGCCGCTGTGGGCACCACGATCCCGAAGGATAACCAAGGAGGGTATGTTGCATGACCCGCTCCCCCATACTCCATGCTCCACGGCCCCCCGCTGACTCCTTGCAGATACGCCGCAACCTGGTTCGAGTTCGACGTTGGCAACACGTCGAACAAGAAGTGGTCCGGCGCCGACGTTTCCTCCATCCAGGCCCAGGCCGCCAGGGAGGACGGCCTCGACCTCGAGATCCAGGGAATGAAGTCCTGCCACTCGAGCATCTGCTCCACCATCGGCCCCAACCTGAGCATCGTCGACAACGCCTTCAACCTCGCTCTCAAGCTGGCCGATGGTATGTAACCCCCTGTTTCCCACTTCGTGGTGCTGCGGTATGCTGACTCCTGTTCGTGATTAGGTCTAGGATTGAACATCCCCGACACCAAGGCCAGCATCGAGGTTACAATCGCGTACGCCGGGTAGACAACCCTCGCGCGCCGAGGATCCGCCATATATCTGGCGCCACTTGGATAAAACACCCGCTGGTGCAGGATTCGAAGACCTCCTTTTGATGGTCGCGACTTACGTCCCCAAGCGTCTGGTGGCCCAGCTTCTTTCTGTACGATAAAATATAATGTTTTGAGCCGGTGGAAACGTGTATCTAGTCGTGCCTCGGCTTGTATATTGACCTTTTCCGATTGAACGACAATCTGCGTGTAATTCCTTGAAAGCGTGCATGTCGTGTCGTTCACGTCCCCGTGACTTGGGCTTGTGTGCTACACAGGAAAGGTATCAGTCCGCCTGTCTACCCGCCGCCGTTCCCGACGGACCGGGACTGTGTCACCGTGGCCGGCTGTGGCTACCCGACGCTCGCTCCCGTCGAGGATCCGTTGGTACCTGGAGCCGGCAGCGACCCCCACTTGAAGTGGTGTTAGGTGTAGCGATGACGGATCGAGTGGCCGCTCTGATGCTCGGTGCTCTTTCCAACCTCGAACCTCACGTGCCCGATACAGCGGACTTGGCTAGATGCAGCTGCGCGCAGTAGCAATGTCTCTTGATGTTACCGTAAGGCCTGCACGACGGAGCTTGCGCGGATGCACATACTGTATCACGTCCCCAATGCCGGCATTGTGTTGCACTTGCAGCACTCCATTTCCGATGCGCCATAAGCTTTGTCAACGGGATAAAACGCCAGGGCACCTCGTCCAGTTCCAATACGGTGTAAGGGACCAGAACAATCGATCCTGAAGGGGACGCTGGTCCCATCGATGTTGAAAATGGCCACTGCGACAACAGAAACATGACAACTCGACCAGAGCAGAAACCGCGAGACGAACAATAAACGTGTAAACTTGGCTACATGCCGTTTTTCTCACCCCCTTCCCCTTTTCTTTCCCCCTTGTGCTTACCCTTCTGCACTCCAGATTGTGCATGTCGGCTGCTTCGAGACACCCGAGCAGATCAAGCAGGTGAAAAAGAGTCTGCCCGTATTGCTCGCGCAGAATCCAAAGCGTGCGTCAGTAATCCAGATAAGGTTCCAAGCACACCCGGCGAACCATGAAGGTCCGGCCGCAGCCACTGGACGTTTTGGGGTACCTAGGCCAGCCGCAAGCTCTGGTCCCAACCTGAGCCAGGGCGTATTAGGCGTCGCTGTGTTCACGTTGACGGACAGAAAAGGCAGCGCGGTCTCGAGGGCACGAACACCGACCCCAACGGCGGGCGCATGGAAAAGGCAGTCGTGGCGTGTTCCCTTGCGGTCGGCGGCATTACCTACCGGTCATCTCGTATGGGATCGATGCCCGGACACGAGCAGGCGTTGCATGACCAGCGCGCTATGCAGCCGCGTAAGTTGCGTGAGAGCGCCACTACTGACTGCTGCGATACAGACGCCGGGCATTGCAGGCTGCGAGACGGGGATCTGGATTGAAGGCGCGTTCTGTTGCGGGGCCAGACGCGATCAAGAATGATACGAAAGACATGAGTGAGACATGCAAAGGGTCATCAGACCCCGTATCGAGTGCCGCCATTTCACGTAGGACAACAGGGTTTATTTACTTCTGGTCCTGACCCCTTAGCAAGTTACCACCGTGACATTACCTAGTAACAGGTCAGACGACATATTTATTGTAGTGCTTCAGCCTCAGAAAAGCAACTGTGCATCAGCTCATGCAGCCTTCGCAGCAATTGTGTATCGTACAGATCATTACAATCCTCCACACCTAACGCCGCTGCCATGTCCTTTACCATCCTTTTCCCACCTATTACGCCATGCCATGCCACGCCGTGCAGAAGTAATGCAGGAACCACAGCGACCTCCACCCCCGCTCGCTCAGCGAGCCACACCCTTGCCCTTGACATCAAAGAGCTTTCCCAGCCACGAGCCACCACCACTCGCCTATGCTCACGCCTCGGCCCTCCTCGACGCAACGCAGAAGGCCGAATTTCTCGAGCCAATCTATGATCAACTTGGACTCAAACTCCTCAATGACTGGCTTGAGCAGTATTGTGGCGCTCTCGGCCGTCACGGGCCCCTTGGTGGCCAGTATGAAGACCACCATGCCGACAAATTCAGCCCACCGAGCCTTGTCCACCTTTCCAAAGAGGTCGACCCAGATAGGTAGCTCTCCATTCGGTCCTTGAGTAGGGATTGCCATGATGTTCGCCTGTTGCAGAAGCGGCATATCGTCGTCGAACATGTAGGTCTCATTGGGTAGCAGTTTGACCTTGAAGTGGTAGTAGCTTTTTGGGAAGTGCCTGCCCTCGTAGTTGCCGGGCTCGAAACCGAACGGGATGTCAGGAATGTCAGGGGCCTCAATGCGAATCCGGCCGCACGCTTGGAGATTCATGACCGCCATGATTGTACCGTCATCAGACGCGTATGGCAAGATGAACTCCTGGTCGTTACGGAAGCTCTGATCCAGCTGCGTTTTGAAAGCCGTAGCTTGCGTGAGCTTTTCGCCCCGAGACATTTTCTCAAGCTGCTTGGCAAAGTTACTATTCAACTTGAAGTTCTGACCATCAGATTTTCCTTTCGTTCTCGTGATCACCTTGTCCGACATGAGTTTGGCTTTGGCAACTTCAACCAGTTCCATTGTCGAGTCGTAATCCTGGTCCGTGAGTTCGAGTAATCTCTTCATGATCTTGGTCGGTGCGTTCACACCCCTGAGCCGTGTGAAGCACAGGGAACGGACCCACGATCGTGCGCGCTTCAATGTCGTTTCGCCATCCGTGCTTGTCGGCAGTGGAAGCAGTGGAATGGTTATGGTCTCGCCAGCCGTTGCTTCTATCCGGCTGTAAACAGATGTTTGAGAAAACCAGACCTCCCTCCAATCGACGACCTCATCGGCTGGGTTATCGAGCACATGAGCTTCGAGCAACGCTTGACGAGACCCGGGTAGGTCTACGTTCTCATGCGTCTCTAGTTTCGCTGTCCACATGATCAATGAACGCCAGTCGTAGCCCTCGATATTGTCGTAGTCAAGTGGGGGTATTTCGCCCTTCTCGTACGCTTCCAAGTACGATGACTGAAACTTCGCAATCAAAGCATCAATATACGTCGTTCGCTCTCTACACACTTTTGGCCAGAACTTCCTGAGGGCAGACAACGACATTTCTGGGAAGTTCTTCATGATCAAGCCCAAATCCGCAGTTCTGTCTACACCTCCGATAAGGGTCCTGATGACGACAAAGGCTGCAATGAGCTCCGTCTCTTGGTTGACACCTAGCCTCTCGTGTGCCCGGGGCTTATTGAAGCGACCTCTTGCTTGCCTCGGTATCAGTGTCAGAGATCGTGTTTTATACTCGACACCAGTGATAGGCTTTGCAATTTGGGTATTTCTACGGCGGTCCTTTGGAGGAACAGCTTGTGTCAACTGTTTCCTGGGTTTCGGCTCCGTTCTGATGATCTGGGCCCTCCTGTTGTAAGCTCGTTTCGCCTTGGGCTGGGTCTCGGGCTGGGTCTCGGCCTTGTTCTTTCGTGGAATGTTGGGAGACAAGGCATAGTCATGGTCCTCTTCTGATATATTCTTGATCTCGTCCGGCAAATTCTCCGCGGTATACTGGGTCAGGCTCAGCCACTCTGGGGTGATAGGCTTCATATTTGCCTTCGACTCGTCGACTGTGAAGTCCATGAAGATGTAATGCGGTGCAATTGCAGTGTTCGTGAGGATTTGGGTCCCTTCAACCGACTGTTCCCATTTTGCAACCTCCTTGGTGTTACGCAGGAACTCGCCATACAGAGGATCAGCCCACGACTTGAACCACTTCCTCCCCTTGACATGCCGAATAATGTCTTCAACATCTTGCGGCAAGTTTTCCTTTCGTAACCATTGAGTGCATGGCATGGAACCTACTATGGTGAATCCGGTGCTTGTGTCCTCAAAGTCAGCATTGGCAAGCCCAGGCCAGCCGCCATGACCCGTTGCCTGGATTGGCTGGACTGGTGCAAACCTGATCCCGGATGCTGAAGGATGGCCACTTTCATCGTCATTCTCCTCATTGGTCTGAAGACAGCTCTCCATAACAGTGTCTTCTTCTTCTTCTTCGTCATCGGACGCCAAATCATCATGTGCGAAGTGCGCAGACGTCGTCGAAGGCGCGATGAATTGATTTGTGGCGGGCTCTCCAGAAGTCGAAGTCGCAGGCGCAATCGCAGTCGCAATCGCAGCCGCCGCCACGGTCGTGTTCGCGTCAAGATCAGTCATAACTTCATCCTCGGCGACCTCTTCTCCAACTTGCATGGACTCCTCTTCCTCAACATCCTCTCCGCCCTCCTCGTCGCCACTGGGTTCTTCTTCTGGAGATGACACCCTTGCTGCCTGCCACGTATTGCGACTCTTGCGGTTTTTCGGATATGGGCGACGCGGAGGCCTTACGGGTGCATCGACCTCCTTGGTACGCTTGACTGAAGATAGGATGGCCTTGAGACGGGGCTCCAACGGAATGTCAGTATCCGGGCGCCAGGACCATGCACCTGTCGCGGGGTCCTGAAGGCAGGGGGCTGCTTTATCCCATTGAGACTCTGTTTGGAGACTCTTTTCCCAAAGATACAACCCGAGCTTCCCACTGTCCCACCATTCACGGGCCTCCTTCGGCTTTCGTGGCCTTCTGGCAGCCTGGGGCTTCTCGACTCCATGAACATCTACGCGCACTCTCTTCGCTGGCTGTGCGTCTTGTATCTCACCACTTGCTTCTGCAGACCGCTTCGACGCGTGGGCGTTGACGGGAATGTCAACCATAACAGGCATAGGATATTGCAACGTTTCGATCGTCTGTACAGCGTCCGACCCCCTAAGCCGTGCCGAGGCATTATGCCGCTGGTCACCAGGCTCCAGGGCATTGAATAACTTTGCCTCTTCCTCCGAGAGGGAGAAAGCTGCCGGAACATAGATTGCTGGAAACATCTCTCTCATCTTTTCCTTCATGGCATCTATTCTAGTTTGAATCGACGCATCTGCAGTCCCGCGTTCACCTCCTTGAACCCGAGCAAGGACAGTACACTGTTGGAAGTAGCCGCTCTCGTCCACGAAGCCGAAATGTAGCTGCTTAAGCACTTCGTCTTTCTGTAACTGGTTGACCACTCCCTGGCATATCTTCCGATCGGGTGGGCCTACGTCGGTGAATTCCTTGATCCAGACGGACAGCACGGCCAAAAATACGGATCTGTTTCCGGGGAATACGCCGTTGCTTTGGTCAAGCAGATACTCGATGATTTGCGATGTGCGGCTTTTGCGCAAGCTTCCCGCCGATGCATTCTTCCTGGTTGGCCTGGCGAACGAGGCGAGTGACCTAGATTCAGAAGGCTGAACCGACGGGGCAGTATCTTGGTTAGTCCGGCTACCCGACGTCGGCAAGGCGCGGCGCTGACGTACAGGTTCCGCCAGACTGTCTTGTCCAATGACGGCACTATCGACGACCGTCGGCAAAGGGTGAGGAATACTGGCAGTGGCATCGGGATCGCTCTTGATTTGAGACAGGCTGCTCCCAGTCGCGGATTCCGGAATCAGTGGGTTAACTGAGGCACCAGAGGCTTCGAAGTTGGCTACAACAGGCAGCGCTTCCTCGACCACCGAGTTAACGTGAACTCCCGAGACAAGCAAGGGTTCAATGACCGGTTCCATCACTTGTTGTTGGAGCCCCCCTGCTGGTCGCGCCATTGCGGTATTGCTGTCAGCCCATTGCATTTGCGAACCTTCCAATACGTTCTTGTCAACTTGGTCATGATGTGTAGCTCTCTCAGTAGACGGATCCGGCGCAGTTGAACCCAACAGTAGGCCATCGCCTTTCTGTGCAACCGGGGAGGCCATATTCTGAGCCTTGAGTGATGCTCGGCGATCCGATATGCGATCAGTAACGTCATAGGCTTGAACATCTTGTAGAAGGATAGAGCTTCGAGGAAATGTAGACTGTGCCGGCTTCGGGGTCGACGGTGACGTGACGTTTGGGGTTTCAACTGGACGGACACGTTTGGACGGAAGGCGCGGTAAAATCCGGGGTGGTTGAGCATTGATGCCTTCGTGACCTCGTGCCTTTCGTCGCGACTCGGATTTCCCGGGTTCGGGCACTAGCTTCGGCCTGGTTGGCGGCTTGGCTGGCAGTGGAGTGAAGTTTGGATTGCAGATAGTTCTAGACTTATTGAGGTGGTACTCCAGACCATGGATATGCTTCCAAGTGCCGCCACATTTGTCACACTTGAAAGGATCCCCTCTGCCACGGCGCGGCTTGCCATGCGCATTGGTTGGGGTCCCGTTTGTAGGAGTAGTGTTCGCTTCTGCGGACAATGATGCATCCTCTCCACTCGCCGTAGGTGCTGGAATGGAAGGTAGTACACTTGCAACCTCGAGTGCCACTGGAGGTTCTTGCCCAGCGGGCGAGGTCTCTACATGATCCTTCCCAGATTTATCTCCACCGACCCCTAGGAATGAGGGATTTTTGAGGGCGTCGAACCTAAATATCAGCACGTAAGAATTTCTCGGCCTGCCTTTACGCTTGTGCACAGGATCGAGCAAGTTGTTGGGTCCACGGTATACACCAGGACGCTTGGGCTGGGGTGATTCGTCAGCTGTCTGCTGCGGCTGCTCCAGTGGAGATATATCTTGGCGGCTTGCACTAGAAGCCAGGTCTTCAGTGAACTCTTCGTCTGCTGGTATTGATACCAGTGGAAACTCTGTCTTCGGAGGTTGTCTTTGGCGTTTTGGTAGGCTTCGCATTGAATTTTCAAGTGGAACGTCATCCAAACCTCTCTTTCGCTTCCCGCCAGCTTTGGGGTTTGACGGCTTCGAATACTTTCTGAACTTGGACTGCGGCGCCCCTTGGCTGATCTGAGACAGTGAGGTGGAAGTACCAGGTACGAATTTGGAATGGGCGGGCTGCGACAACATATGGGCGTCTTCAGCACCACCTGAAGTACTTAGAACAGCCTCGCCTGTATCCTCTTTTGCATGGGGGGTTTGCGCTTGGACGCTGTCCTCATTTGCAGGTTCAGAAGCAGTAGTCCCGTTGCTAACGGCGAACTTGTAGGTTCTTGTCTTTCCCACGCGGACAATCTGCGAGTTGACTGCGAATCGTTCGAGATGTGGAGGCTGCGAATTGGGTATCGAGATCGCTCCCGTAAGTGCTGCCGAGTATTTTCGGAAATCATGTCCTAAAGTCTGTCGGGTAATTGTCGTGTTTGATGTCCCTTCATCGCCGGACCTCTTGATGATCTCCAAGACCGTGTTCGGGAAGGGCTTTTGCGATGACCAAAGCGATGGTGTGACTTCTTCGGATGGTTTTTTAAGCTTCTTGCCTTTTCTACGGTTTGGATTTTGTCGGGCTGCTTCATGCCTCGCTCGAGATGCTGCTCCCCGCTTTCCAACGCGTTGAGAAGGGATTTGAAGGCGAGCTTTGGGCGTTGTACGAAAGGCCTTCCATTCCGCTGGTGTCGGCTCCCGGAGGAACTTGACGCAATCCTTGAAGAGTTTGTAGCTGCCGGGAAACCTGGCGGCAACAAAGGTGACGACTCCAATGTTGGTAAGCCACCGAGATGTTTTTGCCAGAGCTCGCATGGGGGGTACCCGCTCCTCGACATCCATCTTGACGCGTACATCGCAATACCGGATGAGGCCCCATGCTTTGGTAACAGCAACGAAGGCCTGTGCTATAGCTAGATAGTCGATCTTGTTACCAATCCATTTGTCACTGAAGGGTACTGGGTCGAGATCCCTCGTCAATGTTTCTTTGGAAAGGTCGAGTTCGTCAAGTTTAAGTCCCTCGGAATCGGCATCCGCTTTTGCGTTCTGGGCAAATCGGGCAAGCCAAAGTTTGCTGGACCTGCATCCACGGAGAATGATAGGCTGCTTGATGATGTAACCTTTCTTCGCCAGACTATCGGTGCGTGTCGGGAGCGATCTCTTGTCTTGACCGGATAGCCGCACGAGATCGCCTTGCACGATGCCCTTCTCTTTCACTGATGCGATATCAACAAGGGCTTTCCATTCGAACAGGGGCACTCGTTTTAGATCTAGGCCGTGGCCAGTGATGGTCTTCCACAATCGCTCCTCCGATACGTGCAGGCGAGGTCTGTCGTTGTCAACATCTCGACCTGCATTTCGCTGGCCTGTTACAGCCGAGGGCGTCTGGGTCTTGGAGGACTCTGGGATGGCGACAGGGAGCGTAGGTTCGGCCTGTTCCGGAATGGCCAGTACTTCCTCAAGTGTAAGATGGTTGAATTCTCGGTCGATACCGACAGACACATCCGGTCTTGCTATCAGCCAACGCCAGACTTTTGCAGCAATACCGAAGCCTTGATCTCGGACATCTAGCTGGGCCTCTGTGCCGCTGCTTGAATCGGCGGGTCGGCCATTGCCATGACGGACTGGCTGCTCTTCTTTCACAGGCTCGGTGGTAGAGTGGCCCGCTGTGCCTTGATCGTTGGTATAGAAAGAGTCAATCACAGCCAGGTAATTCGACACGGAACACCCTAGTGGACCGGTCAGCCAACCGCCTTGAATTCAAAATTTGTGTCGTATGGCCATCAACATTGCTAGCATTTCGTAGCCAATTACGTGCCTCGAGCATGCGAATGCCTGCGAGAGGTGATTCAACGTACCTCGGGTTCCAGAAAAGGCGATCTCGGTCAGAAGTGACTCAATCAACTCGTCGAGTCCCCGATCCATCTCGCCAGTGGATGCTGCGGCATACCGGCAGCGAAAAGAAGGTGGTGAAAGGTGCTCGCCGGGCGACTTGAACTCCGGTGCTCTGGGACGCCTGATGCCGGAAAATGCTCGAGGGCTGGAGAAAATCAAACGAAGCTATCGAGAGTGGGTGGGCTGGTGGAGTTGCAAGAGACAGCGATGGCGGATCTTGCCGAGGAGCACTGGTGAAGGGACTTGGAAGAAGGCGATGGTTCAGATCTGTGCGATTGAAATCGATTGGAGAGATTTTACTGCCCCAACTGCGAAAGCTTGCCTTCCACCTGGCGCTGGTCCGGCGCGCAAATGCGGGGTCGACGCTCCACCCCGCCACCTGGCAAATCTGTCTGTCAGCCCGCCAAACCTTCAGCACAGACCACTCCATTAAAGTTGGACCAATCCCCAACTCAGGGGACACTAGAAAATCCACAACACAAGGTCAATCACTCCCATGCGAGGTCGTAAAAGATGACGGGAGCTCCCGCCCCCTGAGAAACAGTCTCTCTTCAGACGCAAAAGCCGATGATCAATCTCTTTTGGAGATGACCTCAACCTCTAAAAGGGTCAAATGATCAAAGCCACTCAAAGTCGAAGTTCAATGAATGCATTACCTGACTAACTATACCTATCAGAGGTAATAAATAGGGGAAGGGGAAAGTATAGGCAAGTGTAGTGCTTGGTACGGTATCCTAAAGCTTCGGAGCTGTCATTGTATTCAAAGACCGGTGAGTGCAGCCGATCACCCCCTTAAGAGGTCTCGACCCAACACTACTGATAATGACACCGTTATCGAGGCTAGACCAATAGAGGGTCCCCCTCCATTCACCTATGCTGTGAGCTCGATGTCACTGAGGCCAAAGATAATGAAGCGCCTGCCTCTGATGACCCGACCCTGGGTCCTTGGTCCTGGCGATCGCACAACCAATTTAGCTCTCCTCAAGGAATAGGAGCGCTGACATCCTCGAGGCGGCCATTACACATGGCCCGAAGAATATCGAAGATAATGGCCAATTGACACGATATATGCGTGTTCCGCGCAAGACACGCCGGAACTACCGTCATCATCACCGCAACCCATCAAGCCTATTTACCACACTCCTTAGACCTGACAGTCTCGATGCGCAACGGATAGCGTCGGCAGAGATAAAGACAAGGGTCGAGAGAGGGCGATTCTCACAACACGATAAGGGAGCGAGCAGAGAAGGAAGGAACCGGGGGGTGCGAGAGGAGTGGTGTGAGACCGAATGAAGGTGCAAGATCTGGTAATGGAAGGTCAGTCACCGCGAGCACAGGAGACATAATAGGGGCCCGTGGCACTACATTGGTTATCATGCTCTCTTTCCCATCTTCCGTCTCGGTTATTTTCCTGTGTATTCTTTCCCAACTCTGGTAGTCCTTGTTAAAACCTCAACCCTTTCACTCCTGTGCTTCTTCTGCCCGCTTCTCTGATATATCAGTCTTCTATCACACGAGCTGCTGCATCCGGACAGGTGTGTATAGTGTGCAGTCAGATGAGTACGGGTATGTCACCCTGGAGCATCTGCGACAACATATCAGACTATACTACCCACATATTTAGCTGTATCACAACCTTACGAGTTGCCAGTGCAATGCAAAAGCACCCATTTTTAATCCGAATGAATATGTGACATTCCTGCAGTGTCATACGCTGTACAAAGAACTTCGTAGGCATAACTCCAAGAAGCCCCAATTTCCAGTATCCTGGCTGGTCCTCGCAACTCGGGTCGCGAAGGTAACCTCGAGCCGAACATTCCCTCTCCGCCACCTTTGAGCGTTCGCCAACAAACACTTGACATGAGCTCATGTGAATCCAAGAGGACACAGCCTCGCCGCGCCGATGCTTGGTCAAAAACGAGTACGGACGATTTGAGGGCATTGCCAAAGAAGGCGCTTGGACCAATGCCAAAGCCTCCACTATGAAGTTGATAGGGTCGACCATTTTGTACAGCGGGGAAAAGAACCGTTCGTACAGAGGGACTCGCCGTTGATCTTTAGAGGCGGCAGACGAACTCGTCGTAAACACGGTCCACCGCCTGCACGAAGCCCTAGCACCGAGGGGAAATTTCAGCGCATAGGTATCGCAGTCGTTCCATGAGCTTGTTGTACGGGGCAACTCGTGGACGCAGGTCTTCGGTTGAAACCGTCGTGAACGAACTTGATGGTGTTTTCCCAGAGTAGAAGCCGCGCAGTTCCCGCGCAAAGGTCGAAGAACGGAAATGCAAACATGCTGCGTGAAACCTGCCTGGGTGGTGAGCTATGCTCGAGCACTAAGCGAATACCCAGGTAGCAACTGCTTGAGAAGATGCAGCGCGAGGCTATGGCGTACGCTACAAGTGCTCCTAACTAACCCTTGCAATGCTGACTACGATGTAAAGAATTCCCAGATCTGTGGTCTGGTCACTTGTGAGTAGGTCCTCACCTTCACTCAGCTCGCGGGTGCTGGTTACAATTCAGATTTGGCGATGACTCGATTTCGACCATGAGTCAAGGGGAGTATATCGTCGTACCACTAACACCATTATCAACGTCCTACAGCACAACATTCTCTTTTCATCTGTGGCGGATTTGTGTCTTGATTAGATCGCTCGCATTGATATAAATTATAACCATCCAGCCAGACCATTAGACCATTAGATAGAAAAGAAAGTCGAAATTCTCGGAAGGGGGTGTGGCACTGAGCGCATATTGCCATCCTCGAAAGCGACACAATGGAGATCCAGACTCAGTAGAGTCGCATCGCATTCCGCTGTGGGCGCGGCCTTCACGACAGGTACGTCTGAGTCGACGGCACCGACGACGGTCGTGGTGATATGGCTAGTTCTAGATGAATGCAAGGCTTACCATCCGCTCATGTCCCAGAGACCCTATATGTACATAAGCTGGGTCGGGAACGAAAGCATCCTCTCGCGAAGTACAAATGACTTCATAATGCATTATCTTCCAGACGGCGGCATAGGTTGTAGCGGCAACAACTACGTCGAACTTCATCTTGAACTTTGCGATATATGTCTGAGTATGATGTGGTGTAGTTCGCCAGACCCGAAGATGTTTTGGGGAGTCGGCAGTTGACGGTACCTGCGAGAGATAAGGTAGACAAACGGTCCGCTAGTTCCAATGTGCCACCCAGCTCCTCTGTAAGACCGGTCTGATGTACTATTTACTTGGACTGCAGTACGTTCCTGTCATCATACGCATATCTTTGGAAAGACACACGAGTACGAGCCCTCTGGAGAGTGACATGGTTTTAGTAAATGCACGCAGTAGAGCAGTAGGGGCTTGGAGTGTGTTCAAATCCATATTAGATCAGAGGGAAGGCAACGGAAAAATCAACACGGGGTTTGTTTGCGCAATTCAGTAAACGTAGGTTTACATCCGGAATGTTTCATCACGTAAAATGGATGGCTTTTCAGCGAAGGATTGAAGGCAGGGTAACTTACTCCCAGGATTGCAGGGTCGTCAGGGACCCCCACCCCAGCTCCCATCGAATATCAAGATGTGCGTAGAGAAGTCCGCCTCTCGTCCATCAACTTTCTATAAGACGCGATGACATCGGTCCTGACAGATTGTAGCTCTTCTCTACGCTTCAGGCTCCCCGCCGACTTGGGGATACCGTCAACATCGACGGCTGCTCCGCGGACCAGCAATTTCTTCGAAGGTTTCGCGGTGAGTTCCGGTGGCGCGAGTACAACATCGTGAAGACCTGGTCTCGTTTCGCCTCGCTTCTTCTTCAAGACCTCCCAGGGATCCTCCTCGGCTTCGGCCGTCTCGCCAAGGTACTTCGACCTCTTGCCCTTCTTCTTCTTCTTCTTGCCGGAGGCGTCGGCCTGCGCATCCATCTTCCACGTCACGCCGGCCTCCTCGTCCTCCATGTCCTTCTCGGCTTGTAGCTCGACCTCCTCCTCCTTCTGATCCTTGGCTCGGCGCTCTTCCTCCCTCCACTCATCATACAGCTTGTGCATCTTCCTCTCCTTCTTCGTTTGCCACTTCTTCAATCCCAGGGGGTCGTTGTTACCCCTGACAGACTTGTTGATTAGTCCTGTTATGGGCATTGCAGCATCCACACGGGCTGAAAACTCCGACATGCGCTCTCCCGGGCGGATCGTGGGGACTTCGGCGGAACTGGTGGTCTTGGTGGTCTTGGTCTCCTCGGCTTCCTTGCTCTCGTCAGCAGCGGCATTCGACACTTGGGCCGCTTTCCGCTTCTTGGTCTTTGTGTTCTGCGCTTCCCCGTTATCCAGTCCTGACCGCGGCTTCTTGCCTCCAGCGAACGCCATCAGCCTCTTGAAAGCGCGAGGCGCGTCATCCTTCGGGCCGGCATCTCGTTTGCGCTTCAGTTTCCTGTCGGGCTGTGGTGCAGAGCCCGGTTTCGGCTTGCCTTTCGACTGCTGTTGTGGCTTGGGTTTCACCGGGAGGTTTCTTGCGACTTGTGAAGGTGGTAAATCGAAACTGAAACCGGTGATACGCTGTTAGTATGGGGATAATCCTCGGTTGGGAGATTGAGAGAACCTACGTCGACTCATCTTTCAGTCTCCGCGTATGCTTGTGCGGCATTGTTGCTGATTTCGCAGATCCTGTAAGACGTGAAAACCACTTGAGGAAACGCGCACTCGTCTATTCGCGGTGCTGTTGAGCCAAAAGTGTCATTTGCTTTTGACCGCTGCTCAGTCTCTCATGAATAGGTTTTTTTTTCCTTTGCGCAGGCAAAGAAGGTGGGGTCCTGTCCTGAAGCTGTCGGAGTCTGACCCCGATAAGACGTTAAGCCCTTTAATACATTATTTCGTGGAATACCTTAAAAGCCTTAGAACTGTGTGCCTTGTGGTAGCGGTATCCAGAATAAGGACCAGGGTCACGAATGGTGGCTATTGGTCTGTATTCCCCCATCCCAGAAGTAGCTATCATCCCAGTTGGGTACAAATCAGGTACAAACGGGGTACCCGTTGGGCTCCAAGGTACCTTGTATCCGGGTCAGTGACCCATCCGTCATTGTGGCTGGAAAATGGGTTGAGGAACCACAACTGCATGCCGACATCTCCCTTTCGCGTCCTCCATGCCTTGAACCAACCTTCAAAACTGCTGTCCAACTCCAGCATTCGCAGTCCTCCAGCGGTCTTCGAGTTACATTGACAAATGTATGGCGCACACCCGTGTCCTGTTCTCCCATCCCGGCTCTGGATGTCTCAGGTACATGAGTCATACCTTATCACTGGAACCACCGGACACTGAGTCATGTGGCGCTTTTCGCTGTGTCCACCGTGAGAATGACCTGGAAGTACCCCACATCATGGACAGCCATCAAGGTAGTCTGTGTCCATAGTTTCGGTAGTTTGTCATCCACTCCCCGAGGAGATCCATGCGGTATGCTACAATGGTAAGGTTTCATTGGTTACTGGGTCACAAATTATCATTTGGGACTTGCACCAGAACTCGCTCAACCACGACCTCAAGTTAGCGGCGGCGACTAACACCTGACATTCTGGCGGACGTTGTGGAGCAGGGCGGCCTGCATTCGGCAAGCCACTCACAGGGACCCTTCACGGCCACGTTCTGTTCCCTGATATTCAACAGCTTGAGGCATGTGCTGCTGATCATGGCAACACGAAGCTAAATGAGTAAGTATGGGTATGTATGTTGGTATAGAATCTTAGCAGAAGCCACCATGGCCTCCAGACCCAAGCTCAGATGACCGTCCACTGGTCCATGCCCTCCTCCTCATATATAACAATAGCAGCGTCACGCCGACGCCTTTGGTTGTCCGCGATCTTCGACGATGTCGACCTGTTCAGCACGACTCTGCAACTACCACGTGGCTTACACTGACTGGGCTTAGTTCTTGTTGACTGGTTACCGAGGCCAACCTCGCCCAGCACGGAGCCTATGGAGCATAGATGACAACCCCGACAAGATATTTCGCAACTGGGGAGAGCCAGGTACCGGAACAGAAGCGCTCGCCCGGTACCCGACAGACTTCCTCCGGGACGTCATACCCATCCCATGCCATTCGCACAATGACTACTGGCGCAACATCCCGCTCTATTCAGCGGTTCACGCAGGATGCATCGGAGTCGAGGCAGACGTATGGTACTTCGACGACCAGGACAAGTCGGAGCTGTACGTTGGTCACGACGCCGCATCGCTAACCCCGGCCCGCACTTTTCAGTCTCTGTGTGTGACTCCGCTGGTGGAATTGCTCAACCGATCCAACCCCCAGACACGCTTCGACAACGGCACGGGTCGTGGCATCTTCGACCGTGATCCCTATCAGACCCTCCATCTCCTGGTAGACCTGAAGACGGACGGCGCCACGACTTGGCAGCATGTCGTTGCGCAGCTGGAACCCCTGAGGGCCAGGGGCTGGCTGACCCATGTCGAGGACGGCGTCGTCCACAAGCGACAGGTTACGGTCATGGGGACCGGCAACACTCCCTTCGATGCAATAGTTCAGAACTCGACGTATAGGGACGTATACTTCGATGCGCCGCTCGGAGAGTTGCGGGAGGATCCCGACGTCCCCCATCCGATGCAGACCATGCCCATAAGGACAATCGACTACAACGAAACCAATTCGGTATACGCAAGCATGGGCTTCGGGAGGGCCGTGGGCTCGGTCTGGACGGGTCTCAGCGACGACCAGCTTCGGACGATCCGCCGCCAGATATTGAGCGCTCACAGCAGGGGGCTGAAGGCCAGATATTGGGACACTCCCGCGTGGCCGATCAGCTTCAGGAATAGCATATGGCGTACGTTGATGGAGGAGGGTGCAGACATTTTGAATGTAGATGATCTGAGAAGCGCGGCGAATCTGCAAATGGCTAGAAAGAGCAGTTCACACGGCTTCTCCGAGTAGGTAAGTAATGGGCTATCCAGAAGCGAATCGCATCTATGAAAACTCCAGGGTAAATCGACCAATGTCTAGACAGTCTATGCGACAATACTCCAGACTCCTTCTAGCAAGGGATCATCACCATGCCCTCCTGAACAAGTCGCTGGCATAACATGTTGCGTCTCAAGAAAGTATCGTGACAGCTAATTCAGGCCCATGACGGCAGACATGTCACGGACAAGACCGTGTTTGCTGGTCACGACCCACGGGCAGGATGACTTCCATCACTCCATGCTGCGCAGGGGTTAAGGGGCTGCTGCAGGGTAGCTCCCTGGGCCGTGGGGCAGTCGGCGAGACGGTCAACCCCGCCGTGACCTCCAGCTCCATCACCCCCTCATCGCCAACTTGAAAGCTACGACCCAAAGGCTGTCAATGCCAAGCTCTCCCACACTACTTACCTACCTACCGCAGGGCATCTTCAACGAGCAACATGGCCGAAAAGACTGCATTGGTCACGGGCGCCACTGGCCTGCTAGGCAGGCAAGTCGTCCGGGCTTTCGAGAGAGGCGATTGGAACGTCAAGGGCGCCGGCTACTCCCGTGCAGATGGCACCTCAGTTCTCAAGGTCGACCTAGCAAAGGCGGCCGAAGTCGAGGCTGCGCTGGATAAAGTCAAGTGAGTCCGTCACCAGCCTTGCCTTGAACCTACCTATCTACCTAGAGTAGGGCTAATCTGTATCTTCCAAACGTCAGGCCACAAGTTGTCGTGCATTGCAAGTCGCCACCCGAGCCCATCGTCGAGGACTGGTCTCACTGGCACGGCACACTACGACTGTAGGGATTCGAAGCTGACTGATTCTCTTCAGGCGCCGCAAACCGATTCCCCGACAAATGCGACAAAGACCCCGAGGGTACCCGTGCCCTGAACGTCGAAGCGACGGGGAAACTCGCGTCCCTGTGCGCCGCCCGCGACATCCTGCTCATCTACATATCGACCGACTACGTCTTCCCCGGCAGGCCCGGCGACGCCCCGTACCAGGCCGACGCCGAGCCGCAGCCGACCAACATGTACGGCCAGACCAAGCTGGACGGGGAGCGCGCCGCGCTGGAGACCTTCCGGTGTGCTGGGAAGCCGGGACTGGGAGTGGTGCTGCGCGTGCCGGTCCTCTACGGCGACGCCGAGGTGCCGTCCGAGAGCGCGGTCAACACACTGATGGATACCGTTTGGAAAGCTCAGGAGCCCGGGGCCAAGATCTCCATGGACCACTGGGCACTGCGATACCCCACCAACACGGAGGACGTAGGACGGGTGTGCCACGGTATTGTCTCTCCAGTCGCCGCCATCCGCTTGGTCTAACGACAGAGGGTGGCACGAAAGTGTTCCGTCTGCGTTGTTGCTAACGCTCTTGCAGATGTTTCGGTCAAGTACCTAGGATCCGACGTTGACCGGTCCGCGTTACCCCAGATCCTGCAGTTCTCCTCCGAAGATAAGTACACCAAGTATGAGCTGTGCCAGGTCTTTGGCGAGATCATGGGTTTGAACATTGCGGCGATCGAGCCTAATACCGAGGGTAATGATCCCAAGACCACGGTGCAGAGGCCCTATGACTGCCATCTCAGCACGCGGGCGCTGAAGGATGTCGGGATAGACGTCGCGACGCAGGATTTTGTTGGTTGGTGGCGGTGGCAGGTCAAGGCGCTCAGAAAGTAAAGAGGTTTGAGATAACAGGTGGGTGAAACCGTGCAGATTGCTCTAGGGGACGTGATACCCGACTGGACCAGTCCGGATCAGCAGATGAATGGATGATGAATCTGCTCACTCAACCGGCTCTAGACCTGTCGGTGCAGACTCCGAGCCAATGACGAATGGAATATGTTTACCTACAACACCTGTTGAGGCACGCTTCGCGGTACCGTTAGAAGTAAGTGATACGCGTTAATACAGGCACCGCCATGCTTCGGAAAGCAGTCTCTACGTCGTCTTGAGACATTCTTACGAAACCACATTCCAGTGTGAGATTTCAGGGTCATACAATCTTTCAGCCAGGCACGCTAGGTTGTTGTAAGGTCCTGGCCCAACGAGTCGGGTCGTGGGGTCGGGGGCCACCCGCGCCATCCCGCATCCCCAAGAAACCACCCCTGGGTTCGGGAGTCGGGACTATCCATCAGGTATCCAGATCATGGGGTCCAAGCTCATGGCCGGTGTAGGACTGTACACCTGGTTTGACATGTCGCTCAGTTGCTGCTGCTTGCGAATGGCCGTCGTGAAATGCTAAGTTGCAACCCTATCACGCTTCATACATGCATCTTCAGGTTCTGTGTGTGTTACATTACCGACATGCAGCTTGTTGGTCGCGTGCCTGGCAGAATCTGGACCATAGGGCTACGAGAGACGGGAGAGATCCCTGACGCCATTGCACATCTCCCTGCCCGTCCCTGCATCTAGCATCTGCCATCTGCCACCATGCCAGCCAGCGAAACATTCTGAGGGAATGTCTATATTGACGACTCCACAATCCCCAAGGAGTCAGTGCTGTATGCCGCCCTTTGGGCTCGGCTCCCCTTGCATATTGCCATGGCGACTATTGACGTGGGCTCTATCTCTTGCCAATTTCATACTTTCACGACATGCCTGGTTGAACCTTGCGTAACAAGATAACACTTCACACTCGCCCATTTTCACTCGTATTGTGAAGAGCGGATTAATCAGAAAGGGCTACCTCACCCTTCACCCGTCCGTCACTGAGCTGCGAAAAGGAAGGGACACGATAGTATGTCCACTGGTCCCAAGCGGGAGAAGAAGGCGTTTCGTCTACGGCGGCACCAGAATATCTAGCGCGACGAGCCCCGTGCGGCTGCCCACGCTGGTCACGCAGTCACGCACACACCGCCATCGTCGTCGTCGTCGTCGTCGTCTTCGGCTTGTCGCGACATCATCAGTCGCGAGCGATTTGATCGCTGGACATTGCGCATGAATCCATCCCCGGATCCCCACCATTGAAGACACCCTGCCGGCTATCATTATCTGTCCTCAACCCCAACCGTGCCCAGCCTGCCGCGTCAGTGCCCACTGCCCACCAAAGCTCGGGACTCCGTCGATATCTTCAGCGGGCTTGCTACTCTTATCTCTCCAGTGACCCCTGACAATGTCTGTAGGGTCAGAGGCTATCGCTATGCCGGCGGGCAACGAACCCAACGGTGACCAGCCGCCCAAATTCTCGAGATACCGGAGTCTGAGGGGCAAAAGCGTCTCGACACTGCCGAGCACCGTGACTAGGATGTCGATAAGCAACAGTGGACACGAGGTCGGTCAGCAGCAGGAGGCTGCATCTGGGAAGCCTATCGCCCGATCCACGTCTCGCTACCGCCCACGCGCGAATAGCGTTGCTGTACACGGCGATGCAACCCAGGAGATTAATTCCGATCCACCTGCCCATTGCGAACCTGCCGTACTGCCCCCTGTAGCCGCTATACCACGAGCGTTAAAGGGGGCCGCAATGGGACGCAGGCAAAGGGAGGCCGATGGCGACCCTGACACCGCCCCCGACTCTCCTCCCCCTCCTCGACGACACCAGCTGCGCCATACCGACGCGAAACAGAGCCAGATACGCCGGAAGGTGGCCGATCACGAGAGCCGCCCAAGCACCACGAGCGACGAGAGCCAGCGGCGGAGAATGACCGATCCAGAAGACCGGCGCAGAAGGCTTGACAGACAGGATGATGCTGCGCGACAAGCCGAGAGGGACCGCCTGCTTGCGGAACAGAAGAAGAAAGACCTACAGCGATTGGAGGCGCAGCTAGCGAACAACCAGAGACCATCTACGGCGCACAAGCCCATGAGTCCAGTAATAAAGAAGTTCGTGCTCTTCACGAAGGGCCGGAAGAAGGACGGGCTGTCTCCATCGTCCTCAACGGGCTCGGTCGACTACCACGGCCGGACAGCGAAGCTCGAGACCCCGAAGGCTGTGCCAACATACATCGAACCCGGCGGTAAAGGGATCGTGCCTCAGACGGACGCGCCGACGTCGGCTATCAATTCTGGGGACCGGGTGAGCATTCCTTGTTGGTTTCGGCACGGGACGGCACGGGAACTAACGGCAGGTATATAGAATGTGACGGTCCGCTGCAGACATCACACCTTTAATCTGGAAATTACGCCAGAGACCACCCCGGTCGACATCCTCTTCCAGACGTCCAACAAGATGACATACGACCTCGAGATCAACCCCTCGAGTTGTGTCCTGATTGAGCAGTATGGTCGGCTGGGTCTGGAACGGTGCATACGCCGCTACGAGCGCATCCGGGATGTGATGAACTCCTGGGATAGGGATACGCAAAACCAGCTGGTCGTTACGGTTGCCGGGTCGGACGAGCAGGACCGCGATCTCGACGTTCATGCAGTGCCTAAGGACGAGCAGCCCCAGGGGTTTCAGCTATATATGTACCATTCGAACCGGCCGGGGAAATGGAACAAGAGATATATTACGCTCCTGGCGAACGGCCAGGTCGTGTGCGCGAAGAAACCGAATGCCCATACGCAAGACAAGGACACGGCGAGTCTGTGCCGACTGTCAGACTACGACATTTACACACCCACCGAGTCGCAAATGCGGAGGCATCTCAAGCCTCCGAAACGCTACTGTTTTGCTGTGAAGAGCCAGCAGAAGACTACGGTCTTCGAGAACACCGATAACTACGTTCAATACTTTAGTACGGAGGACCCCAAGATCGCAGCCCAGTTCAGGGAGAAGGTCCAGGGCTGGCGGAGCTGGTATCTGGTAGATCGCAGACCGGAGGCCAGAAAGCCACAGAAGGTGTCGGTCCCAAAGACGGACGAGAAGCCTCCGCAGATCGCCCCCGTTAGACACGCGCTCAAGAAGTCCATCAATGTTGCTGCTATGGACGGCCATCATCTGCGGGTATCGGTCGATGAATCGCCATATTCGATTGGCCCGTTCGAGCCTCTGCTCGACATGAAGCGGTTTGACAAGCGGTTATCACAGTTTGGCAAGGACTTCCTGCCGCCTGTCCCGGATGCCTCGACTATGCCGAAACGCATCCCCACGCAGCACCGTCGTCCGTCGAAAGATGGCGGGGGCAAGACAGATCAGCCGCTGATAGGCACTATTAAGTCAGCCAGCGACGAAGCGTTCACCGGCGGCCTCCTGGGCGAAGGGTACAACGAGCGCAAGCAGAGCCTGGCTGAGGCCGGAAACGGGGCTCGGACTACGGCAGCAGCAGCAGCATTCACAGAGGGACCGTCATTACTGAACAGACCAGCAGAGCCGGACACCCCGACAGATAAACCCGAGTCGCCCTCCTGGTTCCCGTCAGCCATGGAGCACACGGCGAAGCAGCGCACGTCGTCCTCGGCCGTCCGTCCCAACACCTCCGCCGGCGTGATGCACACAAGTCGCCGCCCCTCGTTCTCCGCCTCCTCCCGCCCGCCTCTCCCACCCCCTATCAGCAACAGCAGCAGCAGCCGTCCCACCACGCAGGGGCGCGACCAAAGGCACACGGCAACCTCGCCCCCAGTCTCATACTCCCATCCCCACCCCTCGCACCCCTCGCAGCACCCCAACCCCCTCGCCTCCCAGCCCATCGGCAGCATCTCGCACTCGAACCGCCGCGAGCGGCCCAAGCCCCTCGTCAACCTCACGACGCCCACCTTTCAGGAGCCGCCACAGTGGTCCAAGGAGAACAAGGGCCGCGGCGTCCAGGCGCCCGAGGGCATGCAGCACCTGATCGACTTCATCTCGGTCGGCGACGCCGGCGGTCCCGGTGGCGGTGGGGGCGGCAAGGGCGGGAATAGAGACCTGCTGGAGGTGCCGCCGCGCAGCACGTTGCGCCGACAGCCGCACTCGGCGCCGGCGATGCCGCTCTCCCGGGCGCGGAGCAAGAGCTCCGGGGCGCCCCCGGGGCGGGTCGGGGAGGTGCCACCTGTGCCGTTGCTGCCTGGACTGCAGGGGCAGGGAGGACGCGAAAGGGGCCCGGGGCCGTCTGATAATAAGGGCCGCGACGTGAGGGGGAGAGAGAGAGAAAGGGGTAGGGATACTACGCCCCGGGATCGGGAACGGGAGCGGGAGAAAGACAGGGAGCGCGAGAGGGAGAAGGAGAGGGAGAGGGCTAAGTCGAAAGCGCGGGAGAGGGAAAAGGAGAGGGAAAGGGAACGATTTAAGGAGCGCGAGGCGGCTTATAATGCTGTGCCTGGCCGGACTGGGACTTTGAAGGTCGTCTGAGCCGACCGTTGCCGTTATGTCTCTGGGGTCTATTTTTCCCGGGTCGTCTCGAGCTCTCCAAGGTTTTTGAGCGAACGTTGAAACGTTTCCGCTGGCCACCGGTCATCGCCAACCCTCGTCTACTGTTCTTTGGGCAGTGCCAAACCATCTCCGATGTCCTCGGGGTCGTCCTTCTGCATACGTGCATGCATATGCACTCGGGACCCAATCATACTAATCCTCGATTCCATGGTCACGGGGCCATCGGTTCTCATCTGACTGGATTCCCCTTTGTTCTCGGGCTAAAGTGGGTGTTTTTTTTATCTTATCTTACTTCTTTTTTTTTGTCTTTTTTTTGGGCATTTGGGTTCTGGATCTCGGGTTCAAATTCTGGGATGTTGAATATCGACCGGAGCATTTCTGGAGCACCAGCGAGCGAGCAAGCGAGGCGAAAATTAAAAGGATAGCGGAAACTGGCACGATGTTACGGATGTGGATAGGAAAGCGAGCGCGCGATACTCATTCGGTGTTTTTGGGGGGGAATTGGCGAGTTGGAGCGTTGAGTTGGGATGCGAGGGTTTGGAGGGCTATGGGGTATGGGAGACATAGATGTAAGAGTTGATCAGTGGATGGGGTGTGAGTTGCATTGGGTGGTGTACTGCCGTAATAGGAAAATAACTCGTCCGTTGAGGGCTCCCTAGATCAAGCTTGAGACAGAACCAGGTCCTTGGTTTGTAATAACGCATTGTTAAGCTGCTGTTCTGTTCTCATCTGGTGATGTGCATTTGGTTAGGCCGGTGCTGCAGGGTATGTACATGAGGTTCTTGCAGGCTGCTCCTAGCTCTGTAGTCCCCTATTCCGTACAGTACGGGTACAGCTCGGCGTGGCATCACTTTGGTCTGTTCAATGTCTTCGCATAGGTACAGTACCCCTGAATGATCACCCCATCAAGAGCAAAATCGACCGCACGGATGCTTGACAGCCTGTGAAGAAAAACGAGAGCACTTCGTTCCTTAGCGGCCAGTGAGGCCTCTAGTCGCGTCATCCCCAGCATCACCCGCGAGCTTGCCAAGTGGGTTCTGCAGAGCGCCGCCGGCGAGGTTGCCGACGCCCTTCTGCAGCTCCTTGACGTCCTGTGATAAGTATAGGTAGTCAGCACAAGTCCGTACGTACCCATTGTAAGTAGGACACGAGGCGAGTGGTGGAGGGTGGAACTTACCTCCTGGTCCGAAACGGGCATCTTGCCAATGGCATCCTTCATCATGTACGAGGCCTTGTTCTCGCCCATGGTTTCTAGGGCTTTCTCCTCCATCTGACGCTTGAGCTGGGGTGGGATGCCGAAGCTGTTCATGTCACATGGATGGTTAGCGGGCTGTATTGTTGGTGGAAACGCGAGCTGGAGTGGAGTGGAGTGGATGGATATGGTAGTGGGCGTACAGGTAGATGTAGCCGCCGAGCAATGCCAGGACGGCGAGGGTGACGGCGAAGAAGGCTGCCATTTTGGATGCTGGATGGATGTTGGATGTTGGATGTGGATGTTGTCTGTCTCTTGAAATTGCTGCTGCTGCTTTGGATGCTTGGGTTTGGTAGGGACTTGGAGGACGAGGGGGGTTTGTTGATGATAATTCTTGGGAGCGTCTGGTGGATGGATGTCTTATGCCTTGGTTAGGTAATCGCAGTCGAGTCAAGAACTGCCAAGTTGACCAAGTTTTGGGTTCAGCATTGCGTGGCATTTATGGTTGAACGTGCCAGACTAGGAACTTGGAAGGCGCCGGGCTTTTGCATTGCCCCGCCGACGTCATCCATCATAACGGGTATATAGTTACCTCTGAAAAAGGCAGAGCCCTTTTTTCGGAGAAAAGACACCTTTATAAGGCGTTTAGCAAGTCTTTTTGCGGTGCATTTAAAAACGTTATATAGCTTAAATATCCTTTAACTTAACATTAATAATATGAATAATTTAAACGCGTTTAATAAAAAAAGAGGCTTACGTATTTTTATTTAAAAATATTATATATTGTGAGGATTGTGGTGGCAGTATGGTGGCAGTCAGGGAGGCTGCCAGCTGACAAGGGGTCAGGCAAGCACCTTGGCAGAATAAAGGGATGGAAGCACCAGGAAAGGTGGCTTTCATTGGTGATAGACAAGGGATCTTTGGCTGGAGGATCAATGGATGGTACATCTTTGTATTTTGGTGTGTATTTAGTACTAGATTGGTCCCCCAGACCCATGGATAAAACGCAACGCACTAGACCGATCATCACCCCCATGTTCTGACTCTGATGATCTGATATATATGTTGGATTCATGCGATTCCACATTCAAACCATTCATACCAAACCCACATGTATGATTAGATAAGAGATTAGATACCGGATTGTGAGGTCACTTAGCCAGACCTGCGAGTCCAGCTAGACCTCCAATCCAACCATCAGCAACATCATGACCTTAACCCAATACTCGAGTATTATGATTGATCGTTCAAGCCTGTTCCAACAATAATTGATAATTATTTATTTATACAACTCCTAATAATCATATCAACTTTTTATTAATATGTATCGAGTTATTAAACTTAAAAAAATAAAAACTTAAGTTCCAAAAATTCGTAGGGGTTTTTTTTGCGTATCCCTCGCTTGTTTAAAATAATATAAAAAAAATTGGTTTTATTATTTGAATATTTTATCGAAATAAACGTCTAAATATTGTTTAATATAAAAAGATTTCGCAAAAGTTTTTATTTGTTAAAACTTTTATTAAAATTTACAGCTATAGAACTAATCTATATTACTGTCACGGCGAGCGTACTGAGGAGCTGGGACATGGCCGGCAGCAAGCAGCTATTACTCTATTAACGAGAATATCAAGACTAGAGAGGAAAGGAAGAGAGAGAGAGAGATAGGTACAGTGGGAGGTTGCCCCTTTAAGGGGATCCTCTGGTCAGATCCTTCCCCTATTGGGAGGTATCCACTTATCATGTGGGAAGGTCTGTGCAGGCCGCCACAGCCGTCACAATTACGAATTAAGATTTTATTATTTTAAAAGCTATTAAGAAATATTAACTTATTATTCCAACGGTTCGAGCTGTTATTTCATTGTATTTAATATTTCTTTTATTAATCATAACCTCGAATATAAATCCTTGTTTTAAATTTATTCAGCATTTTAATTAATATGTTGGATCCATGCGATTCCAGACTGCAAACCATCTATACCAGGACCCACATGTATGATTAGATAAGATAAGATAGTGGATTGAGAGGGCACTTGGCCAGACCTTCGAGTCCAGCTAGATTCCTCTCAATCCAACCATCAGCAACATCATGACCTTGACCCCATACTCGAGTATTATGATTGATCGTTCAAGCCTGTTCCAACATAATACCTTTTTTTAAAATATACTTTTCAAACTTTAAAACCCCCTTTTATTACGTTTAACGTTACTAAAAAAAACTTTGTTCTATGAAAATATAACTAATCTAAACCAAATATTTATATAAAGCTATTAATTAGTAATAATAACGTTAATAATTTAAAAATCTCTTGATTTTTAATAATATTGGCAAAATCATAATAATAATAAATAAAATTATTTGCAAAATAATTGTTAAATACTAACGATTATATTGTTTAAATTCTTGTTTTAACCCATCCAATTAATTATAAGTATCTATTTTAACTTTAAAAAGATTGTAAGCATCCTTTATAAAGTCTACGATTAAGTAAAAACGGGTTAGATTAATTTTAATAACCTTAAAAAATTAAGGTAATATACCGGTATAATCTTTTAAGCCGGCATTAATAAATTAAAACTTATTATTATTAATTGTAGGAACAGACTTGAACGATCAATCATAATACTCGAGTATTGGGTGAAGGTCATGATGTTGCTGATGGTTGGATTGGGAAGTCTAGCTGGACCTGCAGGTCTGGCTAAGTGACCTCAAAATCCGGTATCCAATCTCTTATCTAATCATACATGTGGGTTCTGTATAGATGGTTTGACTGTGGAATCACATGGATCCAACATTAATAGCTATAAATATTTTAGGTTTGTTATTAGAAATATAAACCGTAAACAAATATCAAAAACTTCCAGCTTAAGAAAATACTAAAACTTACTTAATAAGTAAAATTACTTAAATTTATATTTATTCAAAAAATTAAATACTTAATAGACGCAACTTTCATGAATACATATGAGTATTTTGTTTAAATTAAAATACGAGTTTTACATAAACAAAATAAAAAAATTAATTTTAACAAGGTATATTTTTAATTTATTCATTTTTAACAAATTATTGTTAAGATGGTGTTACGAACCAACGAACAGTGCGGCCTGATAGCAGGCCAAGAGGAGACGATTAGAAACAGGTTGACCAGTAAGTGAGGTGCTGATCAGTGGAGAGATCGGAGCAACAGAACAACGGTACACAGATTACGTGACCAGCAGAACCTGGGTTACGTGACTAAGAATTTGGATCACTGGATCACCGTGATGATCCAGTGAGCAGGATCACCTTGGATCACCGGTGATCCAGGGTGAGCCACCTAATCAGTGAGGGAGAGATTGTATATATAAGGACAGACATTTCCCAACCAGATAGATAGACAGTCTCTACCTCAGTGATCAATGTAAGCATCTTAGCCAACCCTAAGGTGAGAGAAATCTCCTAACGACTCGACTACACAGTGAACCCAGTTCAGACCAAGCCCCAGCATCTGAGTGTCTTCTAGTTGACAGAAGCCTCTATCGTCTTTTGTATTGACTTACCTTAGAACATAAACCTTATAGAACCCTTTAGCCTTATAGCTTAGACGGCTCGTCACAGGTAGGCGTGTAAAAAATGTATCGCGTTTGAAAAAAAAATCGCATTATATTATCTTTTAAACTTATATATAAACGGTATTTTAAAATAAAAATTTAAAAGCTTTTACTTATATTATCAATCCTATAAAATAATTTATAACAGAAGACGTAACATTTTATAAAAAGTAAAATTAAAATCTCCATCTTACTTATAAATATTAGCCAAATTGATAAAACCATAAAATCTAAAAACTACGTTATTTTATTTTTATCGATTAAAACTTCCGGGTAATATTTAGAAAGTTCGCCGTTAAAAGCTAATATAATTACCTTGTTTAATTTATTAATAGCAGTAAAGTATTTGTTACTTTTTATATTATTTTTAATAAAAATATCGGTCTGTTAGGTAACTATAATCTTGTAGATATCATACGATCTTTACTTTGTGTGATGTAAAAGGGTTTACGTCATTATTATAAAAAACATAAAACCCGATCGTATATTTGAATTTGTAATAATAACGTGGCTAATAAAGATATCATGAAAGAAAAAACAAACCGTTACAAAAAAAGCGTTTGGAGCGTAAGATTTTAGGATATTACTTTTATAAGGCTTTAAAAAACAAAAAAGGTATGGCATAATAACCCTTCGTTCTACTCTACTTATTCTTCTTTCCGTTTAAAACAAGGGGAAAAGAAAGTATAATAAAAAAGCTTGGTACAAATAAAGATATTATAATAAAATATAAAGGCTTAATAAGTTTAACGATATATCAATATTGATTTATCATTTTATACGGTAAAAAAAAAACCTTGGTAAAATTAACTTAATGCATTTATATCATATTTCTCGATTAAGTTTTTAAAAAATAAATTAAAAAACCTTTTAACTATTAAAATTTTTTCATCTGTTGTTAGAATAATTCTTTTAATACTATTAATACTTAGCTAATATTAAAGCGAGACGTTTATCGTGTTTTGTCGGATGTGGTGGCTCAGGGTGTGTGATAAAGGTGATCTGTGCGCAGGGATTCAGGGTGGTCCAAGCGTCCTGGGGAACGGTGGACTAGCGCCCGTTTGCCATACTGCTCAGCTGTTACGCTAGTCGGACGCGTGGGTACCGAATTTGCATACAAATTCGTCTACGCCAGGTAGATGCAGAACCTTTAGAAAAACCCACGACCGAATAAGAACGATAATCCGCACTGAAGTTTCACATATTTATTATATATTAGCTCGGATATTATATAGTATTTCAACAGGTGTAATATTATAAATATATAACATTACCTAATAGCTTATTAAATCGTTTACAAAAAAGCTATAATTGTAGGTATATATATTATATTTTCTATATCGAACGAACCTTAATAGGCAGTTAAACGATATTTCTTCCCTCGTCATGTCCGTATCCCTGTTAAAACGCCCCGATCAATGTGAGGAGATCTAAGAATACTTAGGGTTTCTTCGTGCTTGTAAGTAGCCCTGGTCGAGTGGGAATTTTGGGTATTTTATATTCATACTCACAGATTCTTCCCCGGGGGAACGGCAGGGCAAGTAGTTACTATGTGTGTATCGGCCGGTGGTCCAATACCACGTACTGACGCGTAGCATCGTAAGCCTGCTCTTGGCGTAAAGAGAAATTTGGGCTGCTCATGGTCGTAGTGTAGCTTACTAAGTTGTTGAAAAGAGAGTATCTAGAGGGCGACTAGCAGATAGGCAGCTAAGGGAGACTCGTTAACCGTGTTCCGCGCAAGGCAATATTAGATAAGTTAAAGCATACGTCGGATACTTTTTGTGTATACCTTGCACGTTGCGGGTCCTCCTGGTTTCAAGCAGTATTTAAGTCAGTCAAGGTTTTATTAGGATTGTTATATAAGCATGAGCTACCGCAAAATGTACGCTACAGCAGAATGTAATCAAAACACCAAGGGGATTGCATCGGACGTTGTCACAAGCATATCATATCAAAACGTGTTCCGAATCGCGTGATCCAGCCAGCGTGATGTATTGTGGAAAAATGTCCTTCACATGCACTGTGTTGAACCCTCCCCGTGTTTTCTCGTCGCCTGTTAATATATTCTCAAGTACGATTCAATTTCTCTCCTCTGTAGCCCAGCGCTGCGCCACTTTCAACCCCATAAGTTGCTCAGCAGACTCCGTCATTGGGGTCGATCTTTGGTTCTGCTCGCTTCCGTGACTGCAAGCGCTTCTCTCGGTCCCAAAGTAATGGTTGCAATCCGCAGCGCTAAGACTGACGTCGTTGCCATTCCTGTTCGTGAGCGTGACCTCCATCCTCTTGCAACTGCTGCTAGCTGAATAACAATGGGTGACGGCCTGGTGGAAGGTGAAGGTCCCGGGCTTGTCAGAGTTGCAGAAGTTGTTGATCGAACTATCGACATCCAGGGGCCCTAGGTCGGAGAACGTGGGCCCATGGCTGTAGCAGCCAAGGGCGTTGACTTGAACGAGTCCACCTGAGGAAGCCAGGGCAGCGATGAGGGAAAGGACGTTCGAGTTGACCATTTTCGAAGATGAGGAGAGGGTGTGCCTGAAGTGGGAAAGTGCGGACTTGGCGGAGTCTTGATAGTTCTAGACTGTTGGATCTTGCGAGTGTGGGATGGTGGGAGAAGAGCTGATGGGAATAGAAAACGAAACTACCTGCCAAACGAGACCTGTTGCCCTTTTATATAACACCTCGGGGTTTGGTATGCTGCTCAATCAAGAATCTCAACGCAGCCCCGGAGACTGACATTGTCGAGTCGCAATTTTACGGCCAGCCTTGACCCTACGCAATAGTAGTCGGCTCTTCCGCGATCAATCTGGAAAAGCAATTCCATTGGCGCTCTTTATTCGGCATTTTCAGCTGGCCATCAGCCGGTTTGATTTCATGCAGATGACTACCGTCAGCACATCAGCGACTGGCTCCTCCATGTGAACAAGCCTGACATGACAGCCTTGACACCGAGTACACGAGTTACATCGCATATAGTAGCTCGCCCAGATTAGGAACACGATGTCGCCGACCTCTCGTATGGACGTCGTGGTGGATCCGCTGCATAGCCTCCTCACCGGCAAACTGGATCCGTTGCTCACCCCAAGACCAACATCCATTGGGAACTTACCTTCACCTTTGACACTGCGCCTCTATATGTTGCGTCAAGAGCAGAATTGAGTTTCTGTTCCACTGAACGACACAGTGTTCTCGTTCCATATGCAACTCTAGGAGGGACCAGGACACCCTGTGGTTTACCATCCGACCCCCCGAACCGGCACACCCCACTACCGGCACAGCCAAAACCCACAACCACCACCAAAAGTCCCCTTACTCACTTACACGAATTACAGCCCCTTTTGAGGGTATCTAGACATTCTTTAAACGATTAGATAGCCCTTTTCTTGGTGTTGAGCGGAATGTAGATTATGTAAATGCTGGGCCATCGGCATCGGCATTTAGCGGCCTCCGTGCCCCGCCCTTAAATATAAATTTGCTGTAGAATTCGCTCTGTGAGCCCCTGTCCCTCATGCACCACAGCATCCTGAAGCTAGCTATGATGCCTCCGCCCATGTATACAGAGGATAATGTGGTGGATGCCTACCTAGACGTCACAGATAATGGCACGTCCGTGAGAAAATCCAGCCAAAAATACGGCGTCCCGGCCAGCACACTGTCAGCACGCATAAGGGGGAGAGGGACTAAAACGGAGGCTCACACCACTGAGCAGAGAATTTATCCCAAGCAAGAAAGAAAGGTAACAGCCTGGATATTGCGCCAGGAGACTTTGGGGCTTGCCCCTTCTCATTCAGTTGTCAAGGAAATTGTGGTAGAATTCCTAAAAAGAAAGGGGGATTCCGCACCACTTAGGAACCACTATATGGACAGCTTTAAACGACGCAACCCTACCATTCAGACTAAAATTGGCAAGCGAATAGAATCTGCTCGGTTTAAGGGGTTTACCCCTAAGTCTGTGAATTGGTTCTTTAATATCTTGGAGGACTACGGCTGGGTGAAGCCAGAAAATACGTACAATGTCAATAAGGGCGGCATCATGTCAGGTTTTGGTAACTCCTTTGATCCCCTTATCCTCACAGTTAACTAACTACCCTTATAGGCATTGATTTCCTAGTTCTGGGAAGTTCTAAGACAAGGAACACTTTCTTAAAGAGCCTCCAGAGTCGCTCATGGACATCTTTTATCGAAACCATTTAAACTACCGGTAAAGTACTCAAACCAGGCTTGATTTTTAAGGGAAAAGATCTCTAAGTGTAGTGGTTCCTTGAGGAATTCTAGAATTGTTTGTTTGTTTGTTTGTTTGTTTGTTTTGTATTTAACGTGGGGGGTAGCTCCTCAGTAGTGCAGACCATGCCTCCCAGAGCCTCTGCATCGCAGGGTTGTGGAGGTCTCAAGAAAATAAGTACAGTCATTCCCGCTCACGGGCCCATCCCCGTTGTTGCGGCGGTATGACCTTGGGGTCATCCATCTGGTCCTTCAAGAACAGCTATCTATCGGAGACAGATGAGGAATTCTAGAAGATAGCCTACTGGTACCATATAACGTCAGAAAACGGCTGGACCAGTAACGATATCGCCTGCCAGTGGCTTTAGCACGTTTTCATACCACAAGTGGATGAAATTCGTGGCCAGGAACAGTGGGAACCACTCCTTTTAATCCTAGATAGCCATGGTAGCCATACCTCCGTACGTGCACCAATTTTTTCTATTTTATTTACTGGTTATTTGATTTATTCCGATTTAAACAGCAATTGACTATAGAAAAGGACGAATTTATGATGCAGTGTTATTTTGCCAACATCTTGCTGTGCTTTTTCCCAGCACACACCAGCCACAGAATGCAACCACTGGATAACGGCCCCTATAACGCCCTCAAGTCCTACTACCAGAGATTCCTTACCCAGTTAAATTCTCTGACTAATTCCTCCCTTGTTAACAAGATCAACTTTATCCGCTGTTACAGCAAGGCAAGGGACATAGCGTTTACGCCAAAAAACATCCGCTCGGGCTTCCGAGTAACGGGGTGCTACCTAATTAGCCGCAAAAAGTGTCTAAATCATCCAGAAATCCAAGAAAACAAGCGGAAGATCCCCAAGCCGGAAGAACAGGAAGACTCAGAGCCGGAGGACCAACAGACCCCTACCACGAGCTGTGACGGCCTGCACAGACCTTCCCACATGACAAGCCGATACTTCCCAATAAGGGAAGGATCTGACCAGAGGATCCCCTTAAAGGGGCAACCTCCCGCTGTACCTATCTCTCTCTCTCTTCCTTTCCTCTCTAGTCTTGATATTCTCGTCAATAGAGTAATAGCTGCTTGCTGCAGGCCATGTCCCAGCTCCCCAGTATGCTCGCCGTAACACGAGCCGGCAAATCTGGGATTTCGGGAAGAACCGTTCCCCAGCCACTCGGCTGAAGTTCCGGAAAATCTCCCATACCTTTAAGAACCAGGAGACAGAGCTAGCCATAAAAGACCAGAAGATCAGGGCCTTGGAGGCTGAACTGGAGCGGCTACAGCCCCAAAAGAGAAAGAAGATACCAAATCCTAACAAAAAGTTCATAATAATGGTAGAAATACTAGCCCAGAGTGGTGATCCGTTAGTTCCGGTTGCTGTAGAGTCTTCTTCTTCTTCTTCAGAGTTGGAGGTTGTTGAAGACGAGGGTGAGGAGGACGAGGAGGTTACGGACGCTGAGGAGGCTGTAGAAGCCCCTGTTGCAGAAGCCAAGATGACTAGATCCGGGCGGTCAATCCGGGCGCCGCCTAGATACGTCGATTGAGCAGACAAAACACCACAGAATGATAATTTTGCTGATTTTTTGACCCTATACAGCCTCAAATGAGTGTAAGTGAATAGGGGGGTCTTTTGGTGGTGGTGGCGGGGTTTAGCTGCGCCGGTAGTGAGGGTGTGGATCCAGCTGGTTCCAGCTGTTAGGTGTATTGTCGGTTGGGCCGGATTGTTGCCCAAGGGACAAGGTACCGTTTGTACTGTATCTAGTACTTAAGTGACCTTTCGATGGGACACGCTCCCATCCTTCTAGACAGCAAGCAGAACATCCAGAATACTAGTCATCGTAACATGGTATCTGGGCCCCTGCCAGAAGGCACAGGGGTGTGCCGGTTCGGGGGGTCGGATGGTATGTGATAGAATTGACTACCAGATCTTCTAGCATTGTCCGCAAAAATACTCTTACATTCGCAATCGTCTCCTTCGCCTTGACAGCCATACCGTTCGTCCTGATGTACCATCCCTGTCCACCTTCCGCTTTTATTGATTGTCCGCAGCAGTCACAGTTGCCGAGAAGCTTGAGAGTACTATACACGTTTTCGCACCACCTGGTAATGAGTCGGAATCACCATAGCCTGGCTTCCGGGCAAAGCGCCAGCCAGGCTCAAAGCTACCGGAACCCAACCCTCGTCCCATCGCATGATCCTTTCATTTGCTCGCGATCTTTCTACATCTCCTTTGGCATCGCGCGACAGGTGTGCGGCTGCCATTGAATTTGCTTGCAAGCTTATTCAGTCTCCAGCCGCACTCTCGGGATACTCAGCGGGTACCGGCTTTCGTGGGTTGCTTCTCTCCAATTGAGTCGACCATTGTAACGAGATCTCTGACTGTGTTGAACGTCGTTGAGCGTGAAAGGCAGTCCTGGTCAAGCGCGATGGCTGGGCATGGTCGATTCGTACATAGGAACTCTCAGCTGGCTGTAAAGGCAAGGTCAGAACCGTGTAGGCATCAGTCAGTGGTCCGATGCCTAAGGGGTGATTAACGCGCAGCATCGTGACCTCTGCTCCCAAAGTAACGGGAACCATTGGGAAATCACGGCCTTAGTATAGCTCACCAAGCTATTAAGATGAAAGAAAACAGAATGCAACCAGTAAGTAAACAATCAGAACAGACTCGTTAGCCGCATCCCGTGTCATGAGAATGTCGTTAGTAGTGTAGGGTAAGCCCAAAGCTTTGAAGTAGTCGTCAAGCGTCGGTTCCATATTAGACGCAAATCGATCGCATAGCATAAGGTAGCTCCTCATGTCCCAATACGCAAGGCATAGTCCCCGATCGTACCACTCGGTGGCTTGCAAAGCCGGGTGGTGACTCTCGATCCCCCGTCCGATCAAGACAACTTAACGGCGCGACCCAGAGGCGATTTAGTGGAAAGAGAGAGCCCATTTCGATGCGATGTGATACATCTCGTTAAGAACGGTGGGTATATCGGTGCGGCTGATAAAGAGCGATTTGGAAAAAGCGTTGTGGTAGGGGGTTGTAGTATGATGCGCATCAGAGCAAGTTTCTGGATGATGATCGGCACCATCGATGACGATATAATGGAATGTTCGCGCATATTTTCAGATGTTTCTACCTCGGTCGTGGGCTAGCAAGCAGCTTCGCGTGTAGGTTAGCTTCTTGTGGGTACCCACTATGCCGTAGATTCGTTCATAGGCGTCGTAAACCGAGAATGCTATCTCTGTGATAAGCATCTTACTGTAGCAAGCAATACAGATAATAGGCGCCAGA